CAAATCTGTAAAGGAGTCCAAAGGGTTTTCATGTGCCAATGGACTGAGATTGGCTACAAGAGCTGAAGACCTGGGGAAAAAGGAAAGATTTAAAGAGCTAGGAAATAGTGAAGAAAACAGTGCTGCAAACATAGGAGTAGGAACATAGAAATAGAACATAGAAGTAGAAATTTATAGATTACAATTATTTCTATTCTTATTTAAACTTGTATTAATAGGAAGATAGTAGATTAAGTTAGGAGTTTAATGGGAAAAAGAAATATAGTCTTTGTGTCTGTGTTGAGTACCATATTAAGAAAAACACAACCTTGGATATTACAATCCATCAGTTAGCCCTCTCTTCTGCTTTTGTCAATATCCACATGAAGTCATCTGTCAGTTCAGGGTGCAGCATCAGTGTGCTGATGATACCCAGTTCTACATCTTCACTACATAGAGAACAGGCAGTGGAAGTCTTGAATTGGTGCCTGAAGGCTGTGAGAGACTGGTTGGGATGGAACCAGCTTAGGCTGAATCCAAACAAGATGGAGGTGCTGTTTCTGCAGAAGTCATCAGATCCCAGGGTAGCACCATCTTTAGCCTTGGATAGGATGCTACTCTTCCTTTCAGTTCCTGCTGGATCAGCAGGTGGAGGCCAGGTTAGGAGAGCAATTACCCAGTTAAAGCTGGGGCATCAGGTATGATTTTTCTAGGATGAGGAGGCACTGGCAACAGTAACTCAGATCATCTGTTGTCTGGTTGACTGAGTTTGCTTCAAGGCTGCCCTTGAAGACATTTTGGAAGCTCAGCTGGTACAAAATGCTACTTGCTGACAGATGAAAGCTGGGACAAGATAAAAACAGCCTTGCAGAAGCTGTATTGGTTGCCAGTGGGCTTCTAGGTCCAATTCAAAGTGCTGGTTGTCACCTCTAAAGTCCCATATAGTTTGAGTCCTCATGGACCACATGTTCTATGACCACATGTTCCATATAGAATATACCTGTATGATACGTGCTATAGATTCCTCCCTTCAAGATGTGAAAGAGGTGGGGTTCCAGAAGGAGGTATTTTCAGTTGTATCCCCTTTGCTGTGGAATAGCTTACCCAGTGAGGTTAGGATAGCACTTCTCTACAGGTAGTCCTCGCTTAATGATGGTAATTGGAACCAAAATTTCTCATAAAGGGCGATGTCACGTGACCACATCGCTTAGTGACAGCAATCCCAGCAGTCTCTATTGCCATTGTTAAGGATCATGGGTTGTTAAGTGAGGACTTCATGTGACTTGTGACTTCCTGCTGGCTTCCAACAAGCAAAGTCAGTGCGGAAGCCAGCAGGAAGTTGCAAGTCCCAGGAGGCTCACAAGCAGGCCAGTGGGTGGGTGAGTGCTATGGAGTGCAGCTGGGTGGGGGAGGGGGTGCTGTGGTGCCACGAGAGTGTGGGTGAGTGGGAAGAGGTGTTGTGGTGCCGTGTGAGTGCAGGTGTGTGTGCGGGTGCACTACGGAGTACGGGTAGGAGGGTGCTGGGATTGCGGGCTCTGTAATGGGCTCCTTGGGAGAAAAAAATGATGGGAGTAACTTAAGGGAGTGACCTGCGACCTTCACTGCCAGCTTCCCCATTAACTTTGCTTGTGGGAAGCCGGCAGGGAAGGTTGCAAATGGTGATCGTGTGACCACGGGATGCTGCAACCATCATAAGTGCAAGCCACTTGCCAAGCACCCAGATGGCAATCACATGACGGGGGTGTGGGACAGCTGGAACTTTGAGGACTGGTTGGAAGGACGACTCATTCAGTCCTGTGGCAACTTCAAATGGTTGCTGAATGAGTGGTTGGTAAGCAAGGACTACCTGTATTGTCATTTCAGAAGATCTTTAAGATAGTGCTCTTTCAAAGAGCCTTTGAGACAGAGCTGAGGGATGCCTCATGATGAGAAACAACTGCTGAATTGGGGGTGATTATCTTGGGATGAGATCATGTTTGATATTTGTAAGGAAGTTTTAACTGTGTTTTTTGTGCCTTTGGATATAAGTTGTCTAGAATTTAAGATGAGTTGGTGGCCTGGAAGTCTCTAAAATAAATAAATAGTGAAGCAAGACCATCACAGTGACAGATATATAAGAATGTCTATAGGAATATTTTCCAAATTTCTGTAAATATTCAGATTGACATAACTTTTGTGCAATGATGAAATACCATGAATGGAACCCATGGCATGTTAAGTTTAATGTATTTGTTTTGTTTGAGAGAAACATGTAATACAAAGGGCCACTATAAATAGCTGCTTTAATTTTTTTAAGGAAAGCAAATATAAATGTTTAAGTAATAAAACAAATAATTAAATTAAACCAATTAACAATTATCTTAAACCAAAATATGGATTTGCTCAACTAATAAACAGAGATAATAAAACACAATGTCTATTCTTTCCAGACTACTCTTCAGACTACAGATTTGTCCACATTAGCACTGCTGAGCTTTCATCATTTCCTGAGTAACCTACATTAAAGATTTGCACATACAAAAAGGAAGAGAAACAGGTAAAATGTGGGGTATAAATGAATGGATCCCATATCCTTCGAAGCCCATTGATTCTAAGACATTGCGTGCTGGCTTTGAATAACAGTATAGTGCCTTGAATTTTCACCTACATGTTTTTGAAACATTTCTTTATATAGTGAGTATATGTGTAGTCCCATGCATATATTCTAAACTTTGTCTTCCAATTATGTGTCATTCCTGATAGACATGTACGTTGTTAACAAACTTCAAGAAAGGGCCCAGATAGTATGTATGATGTATAATCTAGTATGGATGTATGATCTGAAATTGGCTTAAAGTCATGCCCTGCTCCCTATTGGAAATGTACTTAAATTTAGAAAATATAATACATTGTCTAAGCACTCCCTATTTTGTAAGACCTGTTTTATCCAACTACCATGTGTTTATGAATGTCCAAAGTCAAGGATGCTTCTAAATTAAAAAAAAAAAAGTATACAAAAGATCAGTGGCTTTGGGAGAGTCAGTATGGAATAGTAAAAAGAAATCAATAGTTTAGCTCTAGGGAGTATTCCCAGCAATGTGTAAAGTACTACAAAGGATAAATACATTTTATGTCTTTATGTATTTACATGTTTTCATAAGTCCCACTGATTCTATAGATTTTTCAATCCCTACAAAGTCCATTTGGAAGGACCTCAAGCTACCTGACTGATCATTGCAAAAACTGTGTATTTAGGAGTATAAAAGTAGAAATATACAGAATGAAATCGTATTGCAACAGGTGCCCAGGTGCTTCTTTAAAAAGCTAATCTAAGTTGGTGGGAGGCACTTTAGAATTGGACCATGTTACCCATCAAAATGCTGTATTGCCTAGTTTAAAATAGATTGGCTGGCTGTACTGAGGACATGGTCTCTGGGCATTGTCCAACATCTAAAGTTCCCTTGAGACAACTCTTTGTATTTAACCAGTAATGGATAACATAGAAACAATCAGATTTTCTTTCTTCCCAATATTAATATTATTATCATTATAAGATCATGTATTTATCTGTTTCAAATTCAAATTTATTTTGTGAAGAATGTATGTGATTACATACTTTGATTTCTAGCTTTGTTCTTGGTGTCTTTATTTCTGTGTTTTAACTCATGTATCAGTATCAGAAACAGGATTGGGAGCAATCCTCTGAGATGTTAGACCAAAAATGCTATCTCGGGTTTTGTAATTGGAGATGCTAGAAAATGCATCTTGAATCTTCTGCAGAGAAAATGTTTTTTTCTGTAACCAAGTAATGATTTCTCTTCTGAGCTTATGAAACTGCTGATACTGAATTAGGCTACAGTCCACCTAGCTCAGCAGTCAGTCTTAAAAGGACTTTCCACCTTAAGATTCTTTGCTCTTCTTAAAAGGGTGTCTCCTTAAAATTTTCCAGAGGGCCTGGTTGAAGCCCACAGGCAGATTTAAACATTTCTCTTATTAAATATGTTTTGAGAACCATGTCAAGACATTCAAAGCAGAATGTCAGTAGCTCTGAAGGATATCAACTTGTGAATGGTAATAGTGCTTTTTAAAAAGATTGTACTGTTTAGAGCCATGGGATGATATTGATGCTGTTCTAATTACTAAAATATTTTCCTAAGGTGACATCAATAATGGCAAGGATGGTAAGAAGAAGGTGTGCATTATGTCCAAAAGAGGAAGATGGCGATGTGATTATGTACACTGCTGAAGAACAGAAGCTTGCAGTTCATCAAAACTGTTTGGTGAGGTTTGCAAGTGACATTCAAACTGTCCATAACTGATTGGAAAATGAAAAAAGATCTGAAGCACTCTTGTGAGGCAATTCATAATAGTTACACCTATTTTTTTTATACCAAGGCATGCACTATGGTTTCAGGGGCTAAAATGTAAATACAGCCCTTGCTTCAGATAAATTGGACTACAAGAAGACCACATATAGGACTAATTCTTTCGGAAGATCAGAAGTAGCATAATTAGTAGTATTTTTATTGTGTGTTAAAATGCAGCAGAGATTGTTCAGGGGCATAAATGACCAGTCCAGGCAATTGCTGTAATAAATCATGAGTCCATTCCTCTATTTCTCTGTCCCTTTCCTTATGCCCTTCTTTATGTGCATGTAACCAGCATTTTGCAGACTTTGATGGCACTGTACTTTCGTGTGCATTTGTGTGTATGCATCTTTTTACCTCTTATCACTAGACAGTGAGAGGAAGAGGACCTTTGTTTCTCCCTCCCTTTTCTCCTTGAGGATCAAGGCTCAGAGAGCTGGGGTTTCAAGGCATCTGGCTTACCCTGAATCTATAGCTTCCAGCAAGCTGGTTTTGTTTCTCTTTTTCCTTTCCCACTGGGAAAAGTGATGGCTCTCTGGGAATCTGATTTTGCTCCCTCCCTGATGAAAAAGATGAATTGTGAACAGAGCTCCAGGGAGAGGGAGGGAACGTGCCATGGACAGCTTTATAGTCAGCTGGATCAAGAAGGGTTCAAAAAGATTTTTGAAAGTTTTGGATGTCCAGGCCAGGAATTTGAGAGATATGAAGATGTTATAGATTGGTTGCTTTTTGTATAAAGTTTTTAAAAAAAATATACATTGAAGAAAAAAGAATCACATGAAAACAAGTTAGACTTTATAATACTGTATCTTTATCCTAGGACGTGGATAATGTTTATATTTCATATTTTGCTTTTTAGCACTGTCCTCCCTCCCTTTCTTTTTTTGGTTCAGAAAGACAGTTCTCTTCTGAACTAGGCAGAAATCCCAGTCCTCACACTGGCAAAAGCAGAAGTGAGAGAGTAAGACCAGAAAAGAAAAGTTTATATTCAGTCCGCACTGCAATTGGGTCTAGAGAAGGGGGATTTGGAGAGGAGGATATTTTCACAAAGCATCTTCCAGATTATTTTCAAGCAAAGTGATAAATTCATTATAATTAGAGTTTTTCCAGAGAAGCTATGTCAAGTTTTGTACTGAGGCACAAAAACTTAGGAGTTTGAACAGTTTTTCTCGGGAATATCTCCTCTTCCCTGGACCACCTCTTCTCCAATACCCTTTTCCTCTGAGGGCCGCTGCCTCACTGTCTGGAGTTCATTGTGCCTGTGGAGACTTTCCTTGCTGCTCACCAAATTACTTTCCCCACTTGCCTTTTCACATTGGAAAAAAGTTAAAATGGCCCATATGCTTTCTTAGAAAATAGATAGGATGGGTAGGTGCAACCCTTTGCTCTGAAATGTGTCTCCTTGCCTGGAAAAAGGTAAAAGAGAAGCAAGAATAATGGCATCCCATGGAAAGCTGGACTAGAAGGTGGACCATCCCCCAGCAACCATTTTGTGAGGATACCTAAAATGTGTTTTCAAAATTACAAACAGCCACCAGCCCAGAAAGGTTTGGACTTTTGAACGGTAGCTACAGAGTTAATGGTAGTTAAGCTATTGAATGAATATATCTAAAGAAGTGAAACTTGTGGCTACCTGGTCCAAAATGTATAGAACTTTCAAAACTGTCTCTGTATAACCAGTTTTTATAGGATTCCGTGTAGATCTAGGGTACTAATTCATATTTAGTTCTGGGGAATGAATTCATTTGTGGCCCTTCCATAAATACACCAAAAAAAGAACAGTGAATTGCTTACTTATAACTATTGCTCTTTTGGGTAAGTTTTCTACAGTCAAAGATACTGGCTTGCCATCTCCTCAGCAAGAGATTGTTCAGAGGATCATTGCTGAAAATGTCCCCCTCTGTGTTAGTCAGTAGAAATGAGTGGATGTTCTGTCCACACGTGAGACAGCACTCCATATCTTCCAGAGTTTGCACAAAGTCAAAAAGACTTGTTATGGGTAAGCAACTCTGTTTTGGCTCTCAAATGCAAACCAAACATCCTTGACAAATCTAACATAGAGGTCACAAACCTGTGATATTTAGGAGAAAGAGTTTCTACAGAGATTTCCTTCTTATTTTACTAGACTTGATTGTGCAATCACTTGTTTTGGAAAATATTGTTGACACCCCTTATTTCCCTCAATAGTAAGAATTATTAGTGTGAGGACGATGTCAGGGGAGAGGAAGGAAGGAAGGAAGGAAGGAAGGAAGGAAGGAAGGAAGGAAGGAAGGAAGGAAGGAAGATTTTGTAACAAATAATGTGCACATGTGAAGTTGAACCTTTGGGAAGCATACATGCAACAAGTGTGTCATTGTTCTTGCTGCTCTGTGTACAAAAGCTGCTTCTGGCAGCCAGAAGCTTCTTATCAGTGTTTGCCACCAGCTCCCAATTCTCAGTGTTCTTGAATTCCCATGAAGACATAAAGGGTGTTACTCATATGCTAGTAATTAACTACTGTTCTTCATAATCTGGCCATGTTAGTTTATCTGTAAACTTCTAACTTTATTACATCAGAGGAGAGGCTGTGCAGTACTAATGTCTCTGGCTGTCAGCAATGGTGTATTTTGGGGGACAGGACCTTATATTATAAATGTCTTAGAAGGGTTTAAACATTTTTCTTCACAAAGTCTGCTGGGGAAACTGTGTGAGACAGGCATGGCAGCTCCAAAGATTAACTGCTGAGAGTTACATGCTTCCTGATCAGGCAGGCATAGTAACACTGGTATTTTTTCCCCCCCAGTCATTTGGCTCATGCATTTGTCATTCAAAAACTTCTGAAAAACACTCTTAGTTTTGCCTAAGTTGTCCTTAAAATCACTTAGGGTTCCTGCCGTATATTAGGCGTGAGAGCAGGCAGCACTCAGAGTGCTAACGGTTATTTTTCTGGATGAGTAAACTTACAGAAGAAACTGCTAACACTTTGTAAATTTATGAGGTAACACTGGACCTCCAGCCAATTCTTGCTGCTATTTTTAATATTTTATTTTGTCATGCCCTCTTGTTTTAAAGTTCTTACCTATTTCTGATTTCACTTCTAGTTATATTCTTCAGGATTTGTGGAATCAGAAGAAGAACATAATTCTGAGAATCTTAGTATAAGGTTTGATGTGGCTTCAGTAAAGAAGGAAATAACAAGAGGAAAGAGGCTGGTAAGACATTTTTCATGTTTTAAAGCACTATAGCAGAATTACTTAAAATAATTTATTTTCACATTAAGCATCTGGAATTTCCACGTAGAGCCCTAATGATTATAATGTGAACCAATAGTCTAGATCCCCTCTCTCATTGACAGAAAACCTTTGTCCCTTTTGCTGTTTTCTCCCCTACTTGAATCCTCAAATCTGAGAGTATAGCTAACAATGACACCCCTGTAGCCAATTTACCCATGTATGATGTTATCACACACTGCTAGAAAAAAGCTTCTGAAGGCTGATGGGGGTTATAACAAACTTTGTTAGACAATGATTGCTCAAAAGGGAAAAGGCTTCCTGAACCATGAAGAGCAGGTAGGCAGATAGGTAGATAGATCTGATTTTCATATTCGTATTCATTAGCTGGTTAACTTATAGTTCAGCATAATGACTTAGCAGTTTGATATTTAGGACATGCACCCATTTGAGTAACTTGGGTGTTCCTTATGAGAGGACTCTGCTTCTGCTCAACATGTTCTAACTGGTGTTGTGTTGGTTTAAGGAGTGGATCTACACTTCTGAGGTTTACTGGTGTTTGTTTAGCTATGCAGGCTGCTAGACAGGCATGGGAGGGTGTCTTGTTTATTCAAAACATATACTTTATTAACAGCTTTGCCTAAATATATATCACTTTAAGAGCTAAAAGGTTAAATTCCCCACACACATATTTCTAGCAATTCAGGAGTAGTCTTTCAAAGAAAGTCTGAATTAAGTGATTTTTTTTTTTTCAGTCTTCAGGGTGAAATTTGATGTATCCAAAATCTTATGCATAAATATTTTCAATGGGCAAGATGCATAAAATAATTATCTAGGTTAAAGAACCATAAAGGTGGAATGAACAGATAACCCTAACAACCTCAGTCAATAGTTAATGAAATGTTGAACAATATATTTAGAAACTATAACTGTTGAACTTCGTTGTTCAGCAAAATAAAAATTGCATCACTTCCCAAAGTTATTTTTTATTTCAAATAATTTCAGTTTTATTATTTAAATTCAATTAACAAATTCAGACATTCATTTAACAGCTGAGACTGGGAGAGTAAAACAGTGGGAAAAGAAAACCTACAGAGAAAAGTGAATAAAGTAATATGATTTCATCAGTTAATACCTCCTTGCAGAGGAGCAGTGTTACTTAACTAAACTGGAAAACACAAATCTATAGGGAACCCTAGTTACATCGGCTATCATCATGGACAGCAATTAAACAAAATCAGTTTAACAGCTCCTTTCCAATAATAACTAATTGCTGTCTGGGAGTGACAAGACATGATGATGATGCTATCTGTACAATCATGTCCGATTCTCGGTGAACAACTCTGTCCACATTTTCCGATCTTGTATGGCTTCTTTTAGTTGTTTTATGCTCTGGCTGGTGTTGGTTTTGATGGTGTCTAGCCATCATGTTTTTTGGTGGCCTCGTTTCCTTTTACTGTTGACCATTCCAAGCATAACTGCCTTTTCCAATGAGTTTGATCGCATGACATGGCCGGAATAAGTAATGCGGAATTTTGTGATTTTTGCCCTCCAGCGATATGTCTGGTTTATATGCTCCAGCACTTGCTTCTTTGTCACCTTTGCTGACCAAGGAATGCACAGGAGCCTTCTCCAACACCATAGCTCGAACAAGTAGATTTTCTTTTTAAGAAAATACTTTTTAATACTTTTTCTTATTTAATCCATTTCAGATCAGAATATTTCAGACAGTCCTTGACTTAAAACCACAATTGGGACTGGAATTTCTGTCGCTAAGTGATATGGCTGTAAAGTGAGATGTCACCAAAAAAAAGCCAAAAGCAGCCCCTGAGCTGCAGTGTGCCAAAAAGCCCCTTTGTCTTTGCTGCTTTTGGTTTTCTAATTTTTTTATTTTGGAACATGAAGCCCAGCCCCACCCAGGAGCTCTTTGAAAGGGGCTGCTTTTGGCTTTTTTTTTTTCCACAGTGCAAAGCCCAGCCCCAGCCCGGTCCAGCAGCCAGGCCGGGCACGCCTCATCAGCAGCGGGAGCAAGAAGACAGCAAAGGTCAGCTGGAGCGGCAGAGCACAGGGCGTAGGGAGGCAAAAGGGCATAGATGAGGGGAGATACGTGGATGGGAAGGAGTTGAAGCATCCCTGTGGTTATAAGTGCAGGTGGAATGCCAAGCACCCAAATTTTGATCATGTGACTGCCGCAATGGCTGTAACTTCCGGCATGGGTCATAAGTCCCTTTGTTCAGTGCTCTTGTAACTTAGAACAGTTGCTGAATGAATGGTCATAAGTTGAGGACTACCTGTAGTAAATACAGTTCCCATATGGTTTCATATTCTGATTACAAAGCAGAGATTACACCTTAGTCTAAAATGGTTTCATTTAACCAGGATCGCAGCACAGAAGCTAGCATGTGTTGGGTGATGGAGAAGTAAATGGGTCTGATGCTACTTCGTAGTTTTATAAAGTACAGTTTAGAAGGTGAAGTCTGGTATCAATTTATTTCAATACAGACATGCAGTTTCTGTCACAAGAATGGAGCAACTGTTGGCTGTGAAATAAAAAGCTGTCGCAGAAATTACCATTATTTTTGTGCATTGCGTGATCATGCTGCAATGAAAGAAAATAAACAGGAAGGCATCTACTGGTATTTAATCAAATGTTTCCTAAAATCTGTTTTGAGATATTGTTCAAGAGAATCCTATTCAACTCATTTTTGTTTTGAAATTATCTGAATGGCAAAAAAAAAAAAAAGTGAAAAAGGCTTTATCTAATGAGCAAATAATACCCATGAACCTGAGTGTCCCAAAATATCTCAGTCCTGAGAACCAGCAAAAAAATTGATATCTCCAAAATCAGAAGCTGATGGACCATATTCTTCCATTTGTTTAAAAGTTGTTTGCAATGGCTGTTGAATTCAGCACCAAGGTGGCAGAATCAAGAAGCTGTATTATTGACAGCGCTTAGAAATAAAAGGGCTACAGCTCTATATGCTGGAGTAGAATAAATACTCAATAATCGAAGTCAAGGGGGAAGTTATTGATGTACCACGTGCGTCTCCATAAGTTTGGGATTGTTAGGATTCTGCCAGAAAAAGCTAGAGACTACTGGATTATCAGAGGCCTCCTGAAAAGTTTTGAAATCTATATTGGTTTTGAATATATATTCTCCATCCATCCCTACTCTGTTTTAGGCTGGGATGAAACTGACTCTTTCTAACTGCCAGTGAGCATTTCTCTCATACAGAGAAGTGAATTTAGAGTCTAAGAACTTCTAAGCTAGTCTGGTATGAGAAGCTGGGAGTGGGGTAAGTCCCAGTATGGTGAATGCAGGCTGGCTTCCCCAACAGATGTCTAACTCCCAAAGACTTCTGAAATGCCCATTGTGAGTCATAGGAAAAGGAAATACTTGATAAGTAGAATTACATTTCTCTAAAGAGAATAATTGAGAGGGTAACTAAATAAATTTTATTTCTACTCAAAGACTAAATTGTCTGTTATGAAAAGATAATGAACAGATACAAGTGGCAAAGGATAAAGAAATACAAAACTGCTCAAATTATGTATTGTATTAAGTGATCCAGTCTGTGGTGCACACCATAAACCAATGTTTCTCAACCTTCGCAACTTTAAGACTTTTGGACTTCAACTCCCAGAATTCCCCAGCCAGCATGCTGGCTGGAGAATTCTGGGAGTTGGAGTCCACGTGTCTTAAAGTTGCCAAGGTTGAGAAACGCCGCTGTAAACTAACAATTTATTTCCAAAGCCCCCATTCAGCAGAATCAGTAGAGCAAAAAGTAGCCATCCATCTTCAGATTTCCAGGAAATAAATCAGCTAGTAGAGAAGTACATTCCTACAAAGATGGTTAGATATCAGAGGCATTATTAAATCAGTATGCCAAGCCCAATGAAATGGGGAGTACTGTGAAATGTGTATGGCTCAGTTTCCCCAGCTGGGCAATCTTGACCTGGAGATTTATTACATCTTGCTTCTATAAGCATAGATGGTAAGGCATTGAATCTGGCTAAAGAGAAGGTTCTCTGACGTGACACACATATATCATGTTAATAAAGCTGGGATAAAAAGTCATCTGGTCAGACCATCATGATAACAATAGGGAATTGTACACCAATCTTTCTGGAGGTGAGAGTCAAAAACACATTGTTTCAACTTCAGAAAAGTGCTCTCTGTCCCAGATGGGGAGGCCGTAGTATCTAAGGACTAATTCTGTGCTTTTTTTCAAGATGATGCAAATTTTTCTACCTGGATCAGAAGGGTTAGCAATCCCTCACTGAAATTTCCATAGAAATGAATTCCAATTTAATTTACAAATGGAGTCTGAGACACACTGGAGAACAAGAAGAATTGCTCTTAAAAATGTACATTGTATCATTTCTAGGGGGCATAAATCTTTGTAGTTAGAAATCAAATTATAAAGCAAGAGGTTTTAGCTTTAAAGATATTTATAGCAGCAAGTATGTAGAATTTACAGTCCTGTGTTTCCAGTGTTAACAGCTTTAATTTGTTCCTTTCACAGTGCTGATTCCAAGTATTTGAAGGCCATTTATCTTCCAGCAGTGATTACAATTTACATATGTACCTTTTGGTAAAAACCACTGCTTTTGTTCTGGCACAACTGATTACCAGTTTTTTCTCTTTGCAATGCAGTAAGTTCTTCCTTGAGCCTACTAGCGTTGTAGAAAGGATATATGCATCCTCAACTGATAGGATAGGAATGTAGTATTCTTCTGTTGGTGAACACTAATTGTCCTTCTGCTTATTGGAACAATTGACAAAGAATCCTCATGACTTATTCTTCTTTGGTCTCAAATTGCTGAAAACATAAAAATGAAAACATTTGGTTCTACCAATTTACTTCTGTTTCTGTTTATGTGTTGCGTTAGTGTCTTCTGCCCAAACCATGACCCAGGCAAGAAATCCAGTTCTCATGGTATGTACTTAGGGCAATTGTTCAAATCTGTTTCTGCCACCAGGACTGCATTAGCAAGGGCTTTGAAGTACGACCTGGGACCTTTAGAAAAGTATAGCCATTGTGGCAACACTCCTTGCCACTCTTCCATGACAACCACCAGCGGTGCAGTTAGGTGGTTTTTAGAGTCTGAGCTTAATTTCTTTATTTCTTTAATCACATTTGTATAGCTGCCCATCTCACATAGTGACTCTGGGCAACGTGTATAGTGATAATGAAAAGTATTTAAAAACCATTAAAACAACCAATTTAAATTAAAATAAAAACAAATAAAAAACAAGATGGTGGGAAAACATACAGAGACTGCATTCCATTAACCGTCATACAACCATCTAACAGGCTCCACTCCAACATAATAGTTAATTAATACCAATGTTAATTAATTTAATGCTAATATTGTCATTAATAATTAATAGTCTTATTCCCAAACCTGCTTTAAATGGCTGCATATGTTATTTCATTCACATATATAATGTAGGAAGCCAGGCTTGCTGTGCTTGGAGGCCATCCTCCTAATTCTGTAGAATGGGGCCTGGAAATCTGCACTAAAGCTCTGCCTTGACAGCATTATTGACAGGAGTTACTGCTGGTGATTTCCAGCAATATCAACTCTGCCAGGCTACATTTATTTTTACCCCAATATTTTAGCTTTTCATTCTGCTTGCACTAATGGAAAAGTATCTTTTGCCTGTTTTCTTAGATACTATAACTTGCAAGCACTCTCCTTGCTTCTTGATTCAGTCTCTTTTTCCAGGCGTCAAATAGTCATTTTGGGAAGATGTTTGTCCCAGAAGCCATAGGATGACAACCTTAATTAACATGATTCCAATGTACTTACGTCAGAACTTAATTAAAATTTGAGCCCTCCTGAGATGTCAGAGAGCTGCTGGGATTTTAATCTGTTTTTTTGTCTTGAAGTACTGTACTATGAGAAATTGTGTGATAAAGTATCTCATTACTTTGTTTTCTAGATGAAGGCAGTAAGAATGGAGTGCCCCCGACCCTAACGAAACCTTCCTCCGCTCCGAACAGAACGGTAATGAAGGTCCCTGCTGCCTTTTCAGTGTCTGACACCTTCAATGTGGCACTTCTGAACATTCTGGGAGGCCATACTTTTGCACCAGCTTCTACTGTGAATCAGGCACACACAAGCCTCACATGATAGGGTAGAATTTAACATTCTTATAGCATCTGAAATACATTTTGTTTTTATTTTGACCCGTATCATTTTCTGACTCTAAAATTGCTGCTGCTGCTGCTGCAGAACTAGTGACAGTAATATGGTAGTTGTTGGATATGGAGCCGTTAAGCACACCCACTAAATGCTGTTTGCATGTTGATTTCTCTTTTCTGTTTCTGAATTTTTGAAAGGGGAATGCCTTTTCCAGTTAATTTGAGAACACACGTCTGAATGAGAGACAGAGATGTGCTTCAACCCCCACCTCTCACTCTGAGCTGTCAGTGCCAGCTGGACATCTACCAGTTTATGTCCCTACTGACATTTTTACTTGAAGTTATGCAGCAGTGTCTTTCTGTTTTGCTCTTGGTAGTCTGAATGACGGTATTGCCATCCCATGTTGTGGGTTTTTAAACTTTCTTTTTTAATATGGGCATTTCTAGAGGGCTCTAGAAATAAGTCCTCTAGAAATAAGTCCTCTAGAAATAATACTGTAATTATTTTACTAATGAATAATATGAGATATAAATGAGTAAATATATATGTAATTAGGAGGAGTTTAGCTTCAGACTTCATTAAAAATGCATGTATAGAGATTTTTATTTTTAACTTCATTAAAAATGCATATATAGAGATGTGGGTTACATCAGTATTCTGAATACCATTTATAACTCTATTTTAAAAAAAACACATTGACAGAATGATGAGACAGCTGAGGAAGAGAACATGCAAGTCCTTAGGAGAAAAGATGACCCACACAAAGGTAAAACATGATTATGTTTGTCAATTGTTAGTATTTCTAATACGGAGGTTATCATAGTCAGCCAGATGTTTAGACTGGAGTTGGCATTTTTGTCCATCTATCGAGTCCTTCCCAAAGACCTAGGATAGGCAGAAGTTGTTTGATGGTATTAAAGGCATCATCACAGGGTGTAAGCTGTTCCAAGTAAAGGATGTAAGGTGTTGCAATTGACTGATGGTGATTTTGTCAGTGCCGATGGTCTTCAAGTGGTGCTCCAGATGTTTTGGGATTGCACCTAAGGCGCCTATACCTGTTGGTACTATCTTTGCTTTCTTTTGCCATAGTTGTTCTAGTTCTATTTGCAGATCTTTATATTTTGTGATTTTCTCCAAATCTTTCTTTTCTATTCTGCTGTCTCCAGGTATTGCAATGTCCACTATCTACACTTTTTTGTCTTTCTTATTAACAATTGTTAAGTCTGGGGTGTTGTGTGGCAGGTGCTTGTCTGTTTGAATTCTAAAGTCCCAGAGCACTTTAGCGTCGTTTTCTATTACTTCGTCTGTTTTGTGGTCCCACCAGTTCTTGCTTGCAGGCAAATGGTATTTCTTGCAGATATTCCCATGCACCATTGTTGCTACTTTGTCATGATGTTGTTTGTAGTCAGTCTGTGCAATCTTCTTGCACTAATGAATAACATGGAGATGATACTCTATCTTCATTCCTGCATATAAACCTGTAACACAAAAGAGTTATGACCTGTCTGGCTTGACCAAGATCAAGCTGAGATGTTTAGATTGGGGGGGGGGGGGTTCTCTTGATGCATGCCTAAACTAATTGGGCTGGATCCAGTTTTCTTGGCACTTTCAGTTATTGGCTCAAAAGCCTCCTATTAATAGAAGGGGAAATTCATCTGGGAGGCTTTTGCTGGATTCAACCAATTAGTTTCAACTTCATTATATTCTATTTTTAATTGCTTCCTGTAATAAAATCCTAAACCCCTAAAATCTTAAAAGGCATGCTCCAGGTCCCCTCTACTAGGGAGTGTCATCTGGTGGATCCCCGGAGGAGAGCCTTTGTTGTGGTGCCTGCCTTCTGGAGCATCATTCCCCCAGAGATTTGGCTCACCCCAAACCTCCTGGCTTTCTGCAAGGCTTTAAAAACCTGGCTTTGTTTGCTGAGCCTGGGGCCTGGGTTGTGTGGTTGAGCCCATATCTTGCTTTAGTTGATGGTGTTGGTTTTTTATCTTGGCTTCTATATTTGTTGTTTATTTCTTTTAATGATGTTTTTATCTTTATTTTCTGTTAGCCACCCGGAGTCCTATGTTTTGTTTTATTTTATTCAGTATAAATTGAATGAATGAAAAAATAAATAATAAAATAAAATAAAATAGGGAGATCAGGGGCTGTCTTTTGGCCAATCTGTTGATCTCTTTAAGAGGAACATTCCTGATGTTTGTTAACCATCACCACCACCCTTTTACTCATATTTTCTGCCTTTATGTCTTGGGAATAAGTAATTGTTGTTACTGGACAGTATTTCACTGTGTGAGATGAACCTGAGATTAAAAATATGAATTGTATATGGTTATCTTTCTCCCTCCATAGCAAGGATAGAATATTTAAAGAAGTGTAAGGAGGCTGGGCTTCTGGATAAAATCTTTGATGACATGTTAGGCACTCTTCACCTGGCACAGAAAAGGCTGATGGATGACAATACTTCAGAAGCAGGTATTGTAAAGAATGTGGAATTCTTAAAATGACCATATCTGAGACTTTTGGTCCAAGTCATGCTCAAAAACTACCTTAGCAGGATTTTCCTTTTGTGATATAAATTGCTTGGATCTAAGTTGGTGCTTAATTAGTACTGCTGAGTAACTCTTAAAAGATATTCATCTTTTCTTCCATACAATATGCAGATGTTATGCTCCTTTGTATGGTGTAACACCTCATTCAAATATATTTTAATAATAAAATTAAACAGAAAAATTATAAACAGTCATCCCAGAGGGGACAAAGCTGATAGTATTTCATATATTTTATATAAGGAAAAATTAATGTAAAATTTAGAATCTATTTTCTGACTTTAGTGATCACATCCATTTCTATAAAAGACTTGTAAACATTTAATTTCAATCTAATCAAATATATTTATTGGTATGTGGGTGTTTTTTCCTCTTTATTGAAAAAGAATGGAAGTAACAATTTCAGTTTCAAATATTACAATATAATGTGTTCTGTTAATAAAAATGACCATAAAATATATAAAATATGGATTTTAAAAAGGTGGAAATGAGTGAAAATACATAATCCAAGGCAGAACATCTTAAGAAAATTTGACCAATCTTCTAGTTTACTCCTCTCTTGTAAAATAATCAGTTCAAATGTTACTATAGAACTTCTATCAAAATACATTACTGTAAATCTGAATAGTCCTTTCATCAGCATGTAAAAATTCTGTTAGTTATGTACCATGCTTAAACTATCCACTTGGTATGCTGATAAATCCTGGTTGCTAGGGATCTGGAATATTAACTTGTTTGCACTACTGTACTTAAGGTTATAATTTGACAAGTTGCTACATTTTAGTCTGCAATTCCTATAATTATCAACATGACTCTGCAATGATCATGCCATGTTCATCTTGAACAATCATTGTAGTCAGGTTGTTGTTGATATTGTTGCTATATCTGGTTGCGTCCATGTACTGTGTCCCTTTCTTCTCTGTCTTTTGTTTCCCTACCATCAAGTGAGCACCAGCTGCTACTAACATCAGTCATTTAGCAATATGATAATTTAGATAATATTCTATATGACAGGCAAGTTCTCACCCAGAACGTACCTTACAAATTCATTACCTGAATTTCATGCCTATGCATGGCATACAAATGAATGTAAAACTGTGTTCAGAGCAACATCTTTTAGATGTTTAATAGACAATTTTGTGGTGCATTGATTCAAAATATCCTTTAAAATTGTAAATATTTTAAAATAAAAAATATTGATCTAAACAAAATACACACAAGAGAAGAAACTCTTGATCCATATGTAATATTTAAAATACATATAGACAACAAGCACATATATACTTTTAGCTAATATAGGTAATAATTTTTGATGCCCATTTTCTACTGGAGGTGCCTTAATCCAGTACACTAACAAACAGTCTCTGACCATTTTTGTGAAATAGATCATAGAGTTGGAAAGGGTCGTTTAGGACACTGTCCGGTCTGCTGCTCCCAGACAGATATAGCCTCTGTTTGAACATATCTAGAAATTGGTAAATTTTATCTACTTTTCTGGATAATTGGTTCCATTGTCTTAACTGCTCTTACTGTTAGAAAGTTTTTTCTTATATTCAGTCAAAGTCTTCCTATAACTTGATTTTGTAGTCTGCTTTCTGACATGATGGAGAGACTTCTTCAGTGTGACCTCCTTTCAGGTATTTGGAGAGTGCTGCTGTATCACCTCTCAGTCTTCACTTCTCAGAGCTAAACGTTTCTAGTTCTTCCAGTCTTTTTTGCAGTTTCTAGTCCCGTATCATCCTCAGTCTTCCTTGAATGTATTCCAGTTTGTCTAAATAATTCTTATAGAGTGCACCCCAAACTGGACACATTACTCAAGGTGGGAATAGATCAATGAAAAATAAAGCAGAAATATTTACTCCTGATATTTGGAAAATATAATTATATTGATGCAAACTAAAATTGCATTTGCCTTTTTTGCAGCTATATCAATATTTAGTTGATAAATATGCTGATTCATATTTAGTTTGCAGTCAAATGCTATTCCAAGATCTTTCTCACAAGCATGATCACCAAATAGAATGAATTCTGATCCTATGCCAGTGTGTTTTATTCTTGTTTCCTAATTGAAGAACTTTGCATTGGTCCCTGCTAAATCTCATTGTTACTTTCCACTCATTTTTCAAACCTATCAAGGTTTTCAATCTTATTTCTGTCTTCTAAGTACGTTAAGTGAGGACTACCTGTAGCTTTACTTCTTGGTAAACTGTTACATTTTGCCATCTTCTTTGAGCAACTTATATACTGATTATCATTATTTTGAACATACCCAAAGAAGCCTTTCTTATTGTTTTAGGCTTCCTTTATCAACTTCAGCTTGTTTTCTCTCCATGCAAAGCTACCTGTTTGTATTTCTTGGTGACCAGTCCTTCTTTGTCTCCTACATAATTTTTGTTTTTAGATCTTCATTAAGATTTTTCTATAGCCTCATTGGCTTTTTCCACTGCTATGTCACTGGAATAGTTTGTAATTTTGCTTTTAGTATTTTTCAGGAGCTCCCACAAATCTTGATTTTTTTCTCCTTAGCTTCTCCTACCGTAGACTTAAACTTCACTTTTTTGAAGCACAAGATACTAAATCCTGTTAAAATCAAAACATTAGCATCAGTTTCTTCCAATGTTCATGCTATTGCCACTTCCTCAGCTAAATATTTTCTATTGGCCAATGCTGAGTGGAGAATAGCTTGTCCTCTTGTGCCTTCCTTTACTTTCTGAAGAATGTTGACACCAATTTTGTGGAAGGCCCTTTCTGGCAACTGATGAGGTAATTAAGGCTCCCCATTCCTATTACTAAATGCCTCTTTGAAAGATAAACAGTTTGCATTTGGAAAGCATATTGCAATGCTTTGTCCCTGCTCTCAAAATATTATTTAAATAATATTATAAATTATATATTTATAATTATATAAGTATATTA